ATACTGACCAAACAAGCAACTCCAAAGTAAATGGAGTGCACCAACATCTTCCGCTGAGCTGATAGCCTACCTGGAGGACTCTCGGCCTGTCTATCGGGACCTGCGGTCATGAAACACAGCATCTCTAGGCAAAAGGGACGTCAGTACGAATAATGTACCGAGTATGTAAGGCACATAAATAAGTACATAACAGACATGGAAGAAATATAGAGTAAATGACTCAACCTGTAAGTCTGGATAACTCTATAATTCATGAAATTATTATAGTGTCATGTATATGCGTATGAATGTCATGCCGTGCATAGGTACATGTTTCATAACATTATCAGGCCTCTGAGGGCATCCTATCATATCATCTCGGTCACTGTGGGCAAAATCATCAACGTATACCAGCTGATCAAGTGGTGGTGCGTATATAATGTTGTAACCGTTTCTCATATCCCATATACATATAATATACATATATACGAGTATATAACGCCATATGGTCATGGTTCAATGTACATGTATAAATGCATAAGAAATACATTAATAAGATTTTCTCGGAATGCCATAAAAATCAATATGCCTTTCGAATAAACTTTATCACTTGTTTGAAATAGCGTAATACTTATAATCTCGAAATAATCTCATTCCCCAGCTTACGTCGATTAACTTACGACGAAACTTTAATGTATGAAAACATGAGGTGTAACAGTTGTGACTGCCGTCGCACCTCCTCAGCCTTTAAGGTAACGACCTGCTCGTTCAATCCGGATAACTCTGCCTCCAAATCCTGGATCCGCTCCTCTAACCTCGCCACCATAAGTGTCGATGTCTCCGCCTCGTTCTCCCGTTCGGACCTGCAAATGCGGAGAGCATCTTCTAAGGCTGCCGCTTCAGCCACAGCGGCCACTCTGCCTTTCTCAGTACGAGCCAATTCTTTGATCTTGGCGCTCAACTCGCCCCGCAGATCAACAGCATTCGCCTCCCTCTGCCCAAGTTCGGCAGTTAAAAATGCCACTCGCGCATGAAGATCGGCATTCTCAGCCATCACCCCTTTGCTCACCTCGAGCTCTTCCTCCTTGGCCTTTAGAGATGCCTCAAGCTTGCTGTATCGACCGATGGATCTCATTAACTCATCATCCCTCCCCTTTAACTCTTCATCTTTCTTCGCCAACTCCTGGTCTTTCTGTTTAAGCCCGTCAGGAAAGAACTGAAACTCGCTATCCTGGGTAAAGACATCGGCCAGCATTCGGTGCTTAGTACGGTACTCCTTGTACTTGGAGGTCACCTTTTTAAAGAGGGCCGTCCTCCGCTCCTCCCGCCAGTCACGCTCAATCCCCATGATAAGAGTCTGCCACGCAAAAAAAAAAGTCAGTATGAGCAGATTACACGTGCGAAACAAATCCTAACAGTAAAAAGCACTTACTCGTAGAGCCATGCCAGATATACTCAGCGACAACTCAGCATCGCTCATCGCCTGCAGCGCCGTGTTCTCAGAAGCCGCGCACAAGGGGGCAAAGGACGGCACAGCCCATTCCGAGTTGGCCAAAAGGTCATAACCCACGGGGATGATTACGTGTCGGTTGGGACCCTCCGTCCTTATCTCCACGCGAGTGTTCCTCTCCAAGAAGGCCTGTACCTCTTCAGGGTCGATATCCGAACCAGAACCGTCATCCCCCGCAGGTGCCGATCTATCTCCCCCGGCCGCCGACGACGCGCCACCTTTTGCGGTCCTTACAAGCTCCCCGCCTTCATGCACCTCCTCGGCCCCAGAGGTCATCCGCCATAAAAACGGCCCCTACGTCTGATGCAAGTGCAAGCGCCGCTTCCGGAGCAATGTGTTTCTCTGGTTCAATACCAGTGACGACGGTCTTCCCAAGCTCCATCCTTCGCCTCTTTCTCGATGGCAACTCCTCTCCATTGGACGACTCGTCTACAAAATGGTAAAAAGGCCGGGAAGATATCTCATCCCGCACAGCAACATTCTGAGGAGCGGGATCCCTCTTTGACGAAGCTTGAGTACGACCTCCGCGAACGGACTCGGCCAAAGCGAATTGCATCCCCGCGGTGCGATAGCTTGGCGAAATGCCGGTACTGGAGCCTTCTTCATGGAAATTCGTCGACCTGTCACCAAAAGGAGGTCGTATCAACGAGCAATGGCAAATAACGGAGAGCTGAAGCAAAATTAACACTTACTAGACGTGACCTTCAGCCCGAAGCGCTTGTGGAAAACCGCCCAATCACGAATCCCCGCCATGTGAGGCAACACGCGAGCTACCCAATCTTCAATGTCGAAGACTGGGGAGGGTGCACGCCTTTCAGCTGAAAAACAAAGAAATCGCAAGTGAGTTGAAAACGAAAGGACAAAAGAAGACAACGAGCGTATGACAAAGACACTTACGATTATGATTCCACTGCTCAGGAAACCCAGTCGGGTCCGCCACCAAGTGTTCGGTCTTGATAAAGAAGTACTTATGCCAGGACTTCCGATTCGTTCTGTCATCCATTCCGACTACCAACCCTCTGGTCCCACGATGTCGTAGGTGTATCATAGTACCTCTATAAAAGCTTGGTGAAAACAAGTGCAGCAGATGGCGAACATCAACCTCACAACCAGCCAATTCCGCGTACTTCGTCAACATCATAAAAGCTTTATACAAGTAAGGAGAGAGTTGCGCCGCGCAAACGTTGTAAAACCGGCAAAATTCCTCCGCTAGCGAAAGAAGAGGAAGAGTATAACCGATCAAGAACGGGTAGACATAGAAGGCACAATACCCAGGTCGATGGACCTCCACGATGTCGCCACCGGCCGGAACTATCTCGACATGGGGAGGGATGCGATATTTGGATCGAAGGTCGGCTATATGAGGCGGTCCAGTCTCGGAGATCACCTGAGCGAGAGCGGGAGCAGGATCCTTGGAAAATCATTTCTAGATAAAGGGTTCCTGGGAACTATCTCCTCCGCGGTAGGAAAGCTCTCATCCTCTTCAGCCATAAATTCCTCACCACCGGGAGGAGGAGCCACCGATAACGGAGTGGCATCGGAAACTTCATCATGAATGCGAAGAGTTTGTGACATATTTCGACAATGAAATGTATTCTACCAAACCCGAAGAAGAAGATAGCAACTAGGTAAGTAGGAGAGGAATGGAATCGGAAAAGCAAAATCAAGAGCAGAAACTGGCAAAGAAGATCAAAGAAGAATAGTGCTCATGCAAAGTAAGGATGGTGAAAACTTCTGAAAAATAAACCCCCATCTATTTATGAGGCTGGGTGGCGCGAGAATCGAAGCAAAGGATTGTCAATGGCACCAAAACCAAAGCGTCAGACACACAGACGTTGTCTCGGGAAGATGCGTAATGATGACGCGCATGGCCATAACATCACCCCACGGTAGCCACACCAACCACAACTTCACTGGTTGCGTCGTTCTCTCCACCTCGACCGACCCGACTTATTCAACACAACCAAATTTTTCCTAAACGGAGGCGAATTAGGTCCGCTTATCGAGGGCGTGCGGACCACGACCTCAACAAGCGTAGGGACTAACTGTATTGGTCTAAATTTGGCGACTTGGCAGTAATGGATAAGCGAGACCAAGGACGGGGTCGACCGCAGTGTAATAGCAGGAGGCTGCTCTCGAGAGGGCTGATGCCAAGGACGGGCAGCTGAGATGAAGAAATAACGGTTGGATAGATTCAGATATGGACATAAGGAATATTTCTTTGGATATTCCTTATTTTGTACTTTTTAGGGTTTTTGGAAAATATCCCTTATAAATAGGAAGAGATAGAGAACAAAAAGGGGGATCTGGACCTCTGATAAGAACACTTTTTGTAAAGAGTTGAAAAAGAATAATATACAACTATTGTCTTGTTCACTGACTACTGAACCCAAGATATATTATTCACTTTCCATTTGTTAGATCCAAGGATCCATTATCCATTTTTGATTCCCATGCCTCCACATTGCTGTCAGGTGGGAGAATTATCCAAGTCACATTATCTTTGGGTGATAAACTCCCTCTTATTACATTTATTGCATTTATTACATTTATTGCATGTTCATATTATTGTTACATTCATTGATAATCATTGAACTCATATAAGATATTCACTACCTCTAGTCATTATCCATATAGGCGATACCCCTTAATATTAGATCTAGAATTAATTATATTTAACTAAGATTCATCTCTCGTCTCATCATTAATTGGTTTAACTAAAAGGCTCAATACTTTTTGGTCAAAAAATATAAAATAGAAAAATAGATATAAAATCAATAACAATAAAGCAATTCAATAAGTGAGAAGGAACTGTGGATGCAATGTTTTTTTGTTTTCAATATTATCCAACTTTGACTCGTTAAAACTAAAGCCTAAGTGTTGGATAAGAATATATTATTTCGAAAGCGACCGTAGAGTGTGGAATTGGGAGAGAATGCATGTTAACGCCATTTGATTTGTGAACTTTAAACTAGGCCCTCCTTATTGGACTGCCTAGTACCAAGATGATGAGGATAAAAAAGGATTTTTCCAGCAAAACACAAAATGACAAATATCCTCACTGACACTTCTTGTCCCAGGGTCCACTAAAACCAACCAACAAACAAACCAAAAAAACGTTACTGAGTAAAAAAAATGATAGTTACCGCTTGTTTGGACTGTTGTTCCCTATTATATTGTATGTATTGTATTGTTACTTTAAATTGGTGGTTATGTAACGAGAAAAAGTGTCACTTTATAAAACGATCAATTTGGTGTGGTCGCATTGTCTCCTTATTTTTTCTCTCATTTGTCCTTTTCTATTATTAAATAATCTTATTTTTTTTATTATCCTATCTTTTTATATAATAGTAATATTTTTTATAATATTATAAGTTTATTATTCATATTGTTGATGCATGAAATATTGTACACGTCAAAATAATACAGTAAATACAATACTGTAGGATATATTATGAAACAGTATAAAACAACCATCCAAACAGGCTGTTAATAATGGCAGATAAACCAAGAAAAGTTATTGCTCTGCTCTGCGTCTGGTGTAGTAAAAATGAAAGTTGAATTATGGTTAAAAAAAAAAAACCCAAAGACAGAGCAAAAAACAGAGGTCTCCGCCTACAACACAAGAAGGTAAAAACTCAGAGGCAAAATATCCCAACAAATAAGCAGCAGCGTGTGCTCTTCACTCTCATCTCCCATGGCTACAACCAGCAGCTGCAGCAATCCTTCTATCAATGGATCATCTCCAATTACAAGAATAGCCCAAGACCATCTTTTCTCCATATTACTACTCTTACCTTTGGACTCAATCTTTTGCTTTGCTATGACTTGTAAGAAATTCAGGTCTCTCACTTACTCTGACCCTTTTTGGGAATCTCTTTGCCGTAGAGATTGGGGTCAATCTTCCATTGATGCACTCAGATCCTTTGCTACTGACAGTAATAAACAACAGCAATTTCCATGGAAGAAGCTGTACCAGCAAATCTACCGATTAGATTCTGTCTACTGTAACAGACTCTTGACTACACATCCACAAGGAGGAGATGAAGAGATGCTGCTTCCTCGGCCTAGAGCTTCTCATTCTCTCAATTTTGTCTCTGGCTGTTTAGTTCTCTTTGGTGGGGGTTGTGAGGGAGGTTAGTCAGTATTCTCATTAATGGATTTTGATTTCTTGACTAAACTTTTCATAACTCTGAAATTGTTCCTATGTTCAATAATCTTTGTACTGCATTTGCAATTATTTTGGTTCCTCTGCTGAAAGTCACATGGGTGTTAAAAGATTTTGGTAAACTCAGTTAATTCCTCCTTTTACTATCATTTTTGCTTGTTCTCATGGTTTTATTGATTAATGCTCAGATGGGGCATATACTTCGACTTTGTGTAAGTCATTGTGCTTGTATTCATTTACTAGCTCAGCATTTTATGGTGATCTAGTAAGGATATTTCTTATGACCGAGGCGGAATCAGAATATGAAGTTTACGGGTTCTAAATTGCCACCGAATCTATAGATGGCCTTACTTACTAGGTTTGCAATTAAATTATACATATTTAATAAATTTCATAATACAAATACTGGTCTAAGCGAAAGCTATTGAGGTCTTCCGAATCCGTACTTGATACTCTAACTCCTTCCCTATCTCTTGATTAGTTGTTTTCTTTTACTAGCTCGGCTTTTTATAGTGATCTAGTAAGGTATTTTTCTCTTGATTAGTTCAAGCTTAGATTTTTTCTCTCATTTCAGTTCTTCATAGGCTGTTCCATTTGAAGAAAACAAATCAGGGTACTGCTGACTAATGTCATGGAGCTTTTTCGGTATTGCTATTGCTACTGGATATCTGCTTCTTACATTAATAGAGCTGAGATATTTATAGTATTTATTTAGGTTTTCGGATAAGCTGGGAAGGATACTCTTGTTTTGGCTAGTTAATGGACCAGGTTGAATGAAATTCATGCGATCAGTGTCTTGGCTTTACTTTACACATGAAGCACCACATGCAAGCTTTGGAGATGTTCTAAAACTTTTATATGTTCTTGGGATAGATATATAAATTCTGCTGAATTTTCTAATTAAAAGCTAACTGAGATGAACTTCAATTTACTGAGAGAAATTTTGAAAAGATCGTGAAAGAGTTAGCTTAAGGGGAGAAATGAACTAACATTAGACATGGATCACAATAAGACGTCTTTCACAACTTCGCTTAGCGCGAAAACTTAAATTCAGATGTCAGCAAACATCTAAACACTGAATAGCATACATATTATAAAATTAGTTATGTAGATTATCGTTGGTTCATATGCAGTAATTGGCTATCTGATGTTTGTCTGTAGATAATCATGGCTTCATATCAGTAATATTTCTTCCTGAAGTGGTGTTATTTGTTCTATACTTTAGGAAAACATCTGGACGATACATGGGTAGCTTATGTTGGCAATGACTTCAAGAGAATATTGAAGTGGAACAAGATTGAATCAGGGATCCCAAGTGGCCGCTTTGGTCATTCATGTGTTGTGATTGGTGATTGTCTAGTCCTTTTTGGAGGAATAAATGATCATGGCGCCCGCCAAAATGATACATGGGTCGGCCAGGTAGCGGTACATGATACATTTGGTATCACATTGTCCTGGAGGCTACTTGATGTCGGTTCCATTGTGCCTCCGCCAAGAGGCGCTCATGCTGCATGTAGCATTGATAAAAGGAGGATGCTGATTCAAGGAGGGATTGGTTTGAATGGCCTGCGACTAGGAGATACATGGGTATTAGAACTGTCCGAGAATCTTCATCTTGGAGTGTGGCAGGAAATTGTGACTCATCCGTCTCCACCATCTCGCTCTGGGCATACATTGACCCATGTTGGAGGAAACCAAACAATTTTGTTTGGAGGGAGGGGTTTGGGATATGAGGTGCTAAATGATGTATGGCTTTTTGATACATCTGAAGGTCACTGGAGATGGGTACAGTTACTATTTGACTTGCAAAATATACCCCAAGGATTGGCCTTGCCAAGAGTTGGTCACTCAGCCAATCTCATCATAGGTGGCCGACTATTAATCCACGGAGGAGAAGATTCCTACAGACACAGAAAAGATGACTTTTGGGTGTTGGATATCGGCTTAGTGACATCCATGATGCAGTCTGGGACTCCTTCAAACTTGGAGCGATCAAAGACTAAACTGTGGAGACGGCTCAAGTCCAAAGGTGATAACCCTGGTGGCAGATCATTTCACCGAGCTTGTGTGGATCCTTCAGGTCGTAACTTCTATATCTTTGGTGGTATGGTAGATGGTTCGCTTCAGCCTGCCGAATCCTCTGGATTGAGATTTGATGGAGAGTTGTTTCTTGTGGAGCTTGTGATTCAGTGATAGGAGAATGGGCAGGAGATTCCGAAATGCTAAATGCTTTACATGACAAATGCATGTAATGTAAATATCAGTCCCACTTGTATCAGCTAGAGATGTGGTGCTTTGTATAGTAAAAGACATAGAAGCTGGTAGTTTGGCCTTAGTATTGGACCTAAAGAATTGTCAAGGTATGTTTCTGGTCTTCTTGAGGAAAATAGAGCCAACCAAGTTGTGATAGTACCTGTAAGTTTCTAGTTTAGGAGGGCAGAATAGATGAAATTGAGTCCTGTAAACAGACTAGATTTTGCTTTGATTATATGATTGCTCTCGCTCGGCTTCGGCTTCGTATTTGGTCAAATGATTGATTGATTAATTTTTTGGACCAAATTTATTTGTTAATAGTAAATATTAACAGAAATGTTATTAAATATCCGTTTTAATAACAAAATATTAATATTAATACTAATATTAAATCCAACAGAGTACAACTATATCGTTACAACCCTAGCTTGGCCTATCAACTCACTGTCAGGGGTATGCAATATAATGAATATTGCACATATGGCCAAAATTTGTGAGATCCTACATCGCTAATAGGCAAGGACGAAAGTGGCCTGGTTTGTAAAAGGGAGTAAATAACAACACAGTGTAATCTCACAAGCGGGGTCTGTGGAGGGTAGAGTGTACACAGACCTTACCTTTAAGAAGGAAGAGAGGTTGTTTCTGGTAAACCCTTAGCTTAGGAAGGGAAAAAGAGGGGGAGGGAAGAGGGGGACAATAACAAGCAAATCAATCTGACAACCGAAGCGAAAATACAAAACTAGCAGTAGGTAATGCAATCAGAAAACCAAAACAAAAAACAACAGCAAGTAGTAACAGAAATCGAAAAACACGAAAAACACCAAGTGGTGTATCAAAGCTACTGTTACAAACAAGGACAACATTCGGCTAACTAACGCTTAACCTTTATTCTCAACCTCCAACCCTTCCTACACATGGTCATGTCCTTAGTAAGTTGGAGCAACGCCATATCTTGCCTAATCACCTCTCCCCAATACTTCTTCAGCATGCCTCTACCTCTCCATTGGCCCTCCAATGCCAGCCTCTCACACCTCCTCACCGGAGCATCAATATCTTTCCGTGTCATGTACCCGAGCCATCTAAGTTTGTAAAAGGGAGTGTTGAAGCAAATTAAATGGTGAGAAGTGAGTTGTTCAAAACTTCAAAACGTGATGCACAATGGGAGGGGGAGCCCCATGAATGATTTTTTTTTTTGTGTGTATATATGAGATTTTAAATATATTTACCCATTTTATCTAAGTGTTCATATTTACATAAAGTAACTAAATTATTTATAAATATATATAAATTCGGTCAAAATGTATAATTTATCTATAACTTTAATATACTTTTTTGTACATAATTCGATCAAAAACTACAATTTACATACAATTTATATACAACTTATATACAATTATGTAAGTTGTAGATATTTTGTATACTGATTCTACACTCGACATACAAAATATATACAATTTGTTTGTGTCTTTTTTTTCGAGTTTAAGATAAAATTTCAACCAAAACCACCTCGAATCTTCACTAAATTGTCTCAAAATTGAGATATAAACTCCAAAGGATATTCTCAATCATTTGCAACAACACCCAATCCAAATATAAAATAATTTTGCAAAATTTTGATTTTCGAATTCAAAATTTCTAAGTTTTCTAATGGATTAACATAGTTTCCAATTCGATCGCTTCTGATTAATACTATTTTGTTTATTGATTCCAAAAGGCTAAAAGAAATTAACGATCTTCCCTCGTTCAAATGTGATAACTCGTGCTTTGTTTAACATAGAAAAAACAAGAAAAAAACAAGAGAAAACATAATATAATTGCTTGATGCCAAATCTCTTTGTTCTCGTAAAAGTATGCCTGACGTTGAGGAAAAAGTTGCCAAATATTCTTCTGTTAATTTATAGTTGGCGTAATGGCTTCCTGGCCACTTAAAGTTGTAAGGCTTTTGAAAGCCGATACACGAACTTTGGATTTTCCCATTTGAACACTCCAACTTGACAAAATGGATAATAATAAATACTTTTGACCATTGACCATGCCTATGTGGAAGCACTACAGCTGACATGGCTAAACTGTGTGCAAATCACGCTGCCAAGACACGTGAATACTGAATAGTATTGTTTTTACTTAAAAAAATTAGAATTAGAATAAATATAAATAAAAATGAAAAATGAAAAAGAAAAAAAAAACTTTTCCAATTTTTTCATCTTCCCGCAATGGATTGCAAGACTATTCCAATTTTTTGAGCAGATTCAATTCCTGCAATGGATTGCTGAGAAACTTGGCAAGTGATCTCCATAGATGCTAAGGAAGGATCTCCCATCAATAAATTCCTTTGAATTGGGCTGGATTGGGGGTTGACATTTGGTCGAGCAGTGTTGGTGAATAGTGTTCTGAAGGACCTTTTTTAATATTCGACGCGATTGACCCATATAAAATTGGTTGTGATGGGTTGGGAATACTCACCTGGGGTGCAGAAATGGATTGGCATTGGTTTTGGGATCCAATTATCCCTAGACCACCATGCCCGGCTAACTGGTGAAGTTCTGAGTTTTCAACTTGGTGGTGATGGTTGATTTCTTGAATGGATTGAGCTGAATCTTTGCATAGAGGATCCATGGACCATGGGTGTAGTAGAAGGGATTCCAATTGGAAATTGGTCTCCAATTGGCCCAGAATTGATAGGGGCATTTCGTCGAACACCTTGCTCAATCGGACTGCCAGAGCTTTTGAATTGTGAAATTGGAGGAATTGGTTGGTATCCATATGAAATTAGAAGTGTAGGAGCATTCTCCTCATCAAAGCGAACATTTTGGTACCTTTCTTTTCCAATTTGGATACCTGGAACACCTTGCGCGTTCATTTTTGCCTCGCCGGAGTTCTGCTGCTCGTCGGAGGGGACGATTCCCACGGTGGAATTGTCGAACACCTAGTATGTTTCAGGCGTTGTTGTTTTTTTTTTCTTTTTGTATTTGTAACTTTTTTTTTCTGATTTTGTATTTAAAAATGGGACCCACAAATAACACATGGCAAGTAATAAATAGCTTAGCATGATGGGTTGTACATGTCTGCGTAATTGATATACACGCTCTGGTGGATGTGTTTATTATTACCCATTTTTTCAAGTTGGAGTGTTCAAATGGGAAAATCCAAAGTTCGTGTATCGGCTTTCAAAAGCCTTATAAGTTTAAGTGGTCAGGAAGCCATTACGCCTTTATAGTTTTAGTTTTGGGTAGGAAGAGGGAGAGAAAGTATGGAAGATTAGAGTCTTACACATATTTTGTACAAAATTAGTAATTTATATATTGACTTGTAATTAAGTTAAAATCTCATAATAAGGATAAATAAGTTTCAAAATTAATATAGATAAGTAAGAATCTCTTTTTGTTTTTCGGAGTGGAGCAAAATGGTTACAGATTTTATTTTTTTGAAAACACAACGTTCGTTACGTGGATTTAAATTTAATTATGTATGGTAATAATAGTCATGCAAATTATCTAGGGGGTGTCAATGGATATTTGAAAACCGACTAAACCGATCGAACCGTACCGCACCGAATCGATTTTTAGGTTTCTTTTAAAGAAATCGTAGGTTTTTATATAAATCTGTAACCGTACCGATAATTAGGGTAAGTTTTCTATTTTATAAAAATAAATCGAAAAAATACCGAACCTTACCGAATAAATTTTATATGTGAAAAATATATTTATATAGCAAGTCTAAAACGAATAAACATTAAATTTTTCATTGGGTCTTAGAATTATGAAAATTGTTACAAGCCAACAAGTAATTAAACTCAAAATACTAATTCATAAAATCTATTATGCTACTTATACTTAAACTAAGTTATTTCAAGTATCTTTATTAGCAAGACACAAAGTGTTCTAGCGATTATGAGTAGAAAGCTACAATGTATTGAATATGTTTCCTTTCATACAATTTAGATTTATCTTTTTGCATATTTAATATAAACTTTATTCTTGAGTCCCGACTTGGTTAATATCTTTCCCTTGTGTGATTTATATTTTCTTTGCTTTTACTTGATTTTTTTTACGTTGCTGTCAAATAGTTGATGGATTTATACTCTAGCCATCTTTCATGTTTTTTTAATTCATCACCCTTTAAATAGTAAAAATGTCTAGAAAGTTTTGGTAACTCCTGTAAAAGAACATATGTTATTGCATTTTACTTCTACTAGTGAGTTTTACACATGATATTTAAAAAAATATCAAAAATTAACCGTCGTACTGATACCGAAGTGAAACCGACATGATTGGGACGGTTTCGAAAAGTCTAATTTTGGTTATACATAATAGAATAACCGAAAAATTGGTATGATGCAAATTTTATAAAATAACCGTCCGAACCGAATCATTAACACCCCTAGTCCATTCTACAGTCTAACAAAATTCAACCGCAAAAGTAGATGGCATATATAACAATGCTTGTGCATATAAAACTGTGGCATCGTTGGGAAATGGGAATTAAAAGAGTAAAATGTTTTGACGTCTTACTCCTATATTTAAGTCAAAATAACTTTTTATTAGAAACTCAAGAAATTCCTGAAAATTATAGAGAAACTTTCAGAAACCACTATATTTTAGTGGTTATTAGCTAGTTATAGCTATCATTTACTATATTACTTTCTATAGCTATGTTTTCAGACTTTTTAGAGTGTATTCAAAGTATTTAAGCTACTGTATTCATGAATAGAGTAGCATTTTTAGGCGTGAAACATGGGATTACAGCTAGACAGATTTTTGTATTCGAGTGTATTCGACTGTATTCATGGCGTGAAATATGGAATTACAGCTGGACAGATTATTCTATTCGACTGTATTCACGGCGTGAAACAGGGAAGTACACTGTTTTTAAACGGAAAGTGAATCAATTAACATAATAGACTCTTAATATAACTCAACAAACTCAATTATAACACACAAATTTTGTATTTTCAGTTATAAAAAAGATTCTCAATTGAAAAACACCCCAAAAACATAGCAATCTTCAGAGAAATTATATAATACATCTGAATACATAAATTATATTAATTAAATAAAACATATGAATACATTCATTGAATATAATCAGACAGTGAATACAATGAAATACATAGAATACAGCGGGATACATTGAACTACAATGGAAAAAAAGATAATGAATACAATGAAATACATAGAATACAGCGAGATACATTGAAATACAATGAAAAAAGACAATGAATACAATGAAATACAACGAGATACATTGAAATATATGAAATATATTAAAATATATTAACAGAAAATACAAATTCCATTACAGCGAAAAAATATCTGTCAAAATCTTTCCTTCTTCCATTGCTTTTTCAAGAGCAATTGTCTGTAAATGATGACAATTTTAGTGGTTAAAGAAGGAAACATGAGAAATAAGAATAGCAGATATTAGAAAAGATTAGAGCTTGAGTTTCAGTTTTTGAAACGATTAGATTCGTAGGTTGCTTAGTCTCTTTACAAGCAGTCATCTCCCAACAGTTCACCCAGATTTTTGCTTATTGACTGGTTAGGAGAACAAAGATTTTTCGCAAGTGTGAGTAGGGAAGCTATCAACAGTAAAATTGGAGTGAAACTAAACGCAGAAGAAACACAAAGAAAGCTAATGCAGCAGCCGTCTGCTAGAATTTTGAAACAGTAATACCTAGATAGATATGGGATAGGAGATAGGAGAAATTTGAGGGTATATGAGAGAGAAAAATAATACAAAGCTTATTTTATGACTTAAGGGTAGGATGTGACCATAAATAGATATTTGACTATAAAAAATCAAAAGATAGCTATAAAATATAATTTTTTAAAAAAATATTTATTTAAAATAAATAAGATATCAACATTTGTTATAGGAGGTAACTAATCCAAAATTGTACAGGCATTCTACTAATTTGTTCATGTCTTTTCTCAAGTGCCACATGACAGCCCAAAATCTCTGCCAAGTGGTAGCCAAAAAAGGTGTCCACGTATGATGTGCCACATTTCTCTTTGTGAAAACGTGTCGGCCAACAATAAAATAGTAGCAACTTCTGAGAAGCCCCAACGGCAGTATAATTAGCACCTACTATTGAACAAATTATTAATTTCTGTGATCTATCCAAAAGCCTCAAAGCTCATTTGGCAACGATATGGAAAGCAGCCATCTTCATTTTAGGACCTACTCCTCCTTGTTCCTTCTCTTATTGTTGTTTATCATGTCCTCCCACAACTCCACTACTGCAGCAGCTGCTATTGGCACCGTTGGAGGAGGACAAGAAGAAGAAGCAGCGCAGCAGCTTCAAGAACAACTCCACATGGAGGCCAAGGCCCAGAAAACTCCTATTATAGAGACGGTCAAGAGAATGTTTTCTTTCCCCACTACTCTTCCTCAAACTTCAACCAGTTACTGGAGCAAACTCAACTCACTCGTCAAACAAGGCAAGGCCTACTTCTCCCCTCCAACTCTTGAGTAAGTTATCACAACCCTAAATATTCACTCATGTATATTTCGATCAATTTATCAAATACTTGTATTTACCTATTTATTTCAAGTCTACAACACCCCTCTATTGTTTCCTTTTTCCCAAGTTAGAATTTGTTTGCGACTGACTTGTGAGAATAATACGCAGTTTCCGAGATAGCCAAGAAGCACAAGGCAAGGAGGAAGAAGGAGCAGGTGAAAAGGTGAAAGAAGCAGTGATAAAGAGCCTTGACAAGAGTAAAGAGGCAATGGAAGATTCCGCCAAATCAGCTGCAAAATTAGCTGGGGAGGCAGTGCAGAAAACAAAGAATAAGGTAAAAAGAACATTCTCCTTTGGAGATAAAGACTCTGGACATCAAGCGGAGGAGCTTTGATGAAACAAATACTTGACGATGGTTAGGACCTTGTAAGCTAGCTTAGTTTCATAGTTTATGTACGTCATACTTTCACTTGAGTAGTATATTGTAAATAGTTGTACTACCTTTCATTGTTTCGCTGTAGTTATGTATTATATACCCTCTTCGATTAATCATATATAAGTAGCTAAGGCAATTTCTACGAGGCCTAGGCTTGGGTCAAAGCCTCTTACCCGTCTTTAGCCGAGCAGCGGCAGTTGCTTTTACTCCAAACATTGTTACCTTAGAGAAAGAGACATATCTGTAAATGGGTGAAGGAAAAACATTGACTCGTATAACAACACGCGCATAAGCAAATTCTGCCTCTATTTAGGTAACGCGCATGTTACCACCACTGGATGTGGTCCACTGGATGGGACTGCTCTTCCCTTAACCAGAGGTCTCGGGTTCAAGTCCTGGGTATGGAAAAATTCTTGGTAGGGAGCCCTTCCCCGAAAGGGGCCCTACGCGGCGCGAATGCGAATATAGTCGCGCTCAAATGCGGGCTCTTTCCTTAACCAGAGGTCTCGGGTTCGAGCCCTGAGTATGAAAAAATTCTTGGTAGGGAGCCCTTTCCCGAAAGGGGCCCTACGCAGCGCGAATCCGGATATAGTCGGGCTCAAATGCGGGTACCGGACACCGGGCGAGAAACCAAAAAAAAAAAGTAACGCACATGTTCTACTGTCCACAAGCCAAGGGGAAAAGTACTTGGTTATATTTTATTAAATTAATAAGCCATGTATTTTATAAAATAAAATGAGTTATATCATTGGGTACACCAATTACATTGGCAAAAGGGTAAAGCAACCAACAGAAACAGATGTTTGTCCTTCACTAGACCATCCACTCAGTCTCCCAAGGAATCTGTCAACAAAGACAAAATAATTTGTTACAATATGGGGTACGTATATGTGTAAACATACCAGCTCAGTTAATAGGAGCTCCCGACATTTACCTAGCGAACAGATAAAGCACAATTTTCAAATCTCTCTTCATTTTCATTTTCTTTCCCTTTTTAGAGGAAGTAGCAATTTTTCAATATACGAGCTGAGCTAGTTCTCGAGGTTCAACAATACACATGCTCCAAAGCAAGCAACATCTCGAAACATATTTCACAATTCACACGAATAATTTTATTTGGCTCAAAAGTTAACAATATACTTTTTAAGCTAGAAAACAATCAAAAGTAAGAAAAAGGTAAATCGTAATTAAATATAATAAACCTAGAGATGCAAAGATGATATTATTGTTGTAGATCTAGTATTGTAAAGTGATAATATGAACTCAATAAGATATGTTCGTTTGAGGTAGAGATAGAGAGAGAAAGTCAGAAAATGAGAGAGTTGTCATGATACAACCGCCGCTTTTGGCGTAAATATTTCAAAGGCAGCGGATGAGCCGCTCTCCGGAATGCGTGTTGGGCTGGCGTCGAGAACCGCCCCCTTGGGAGCCGACCTCCCGGAACGGATGGCATCTGCCATAAAAACTGGCCTTGACTCCTGGCGGCTCCTCGCTCTTAGAAGTCTCCTCCACAGCCCGTGGGGATGGCATTGAAGGAGTCGCTCCCCTCGTGGACGCCGCCACGGGCAGCGGTTGAGGAACCTCCGCAACGCCATCACTGGGCGAACCACAGGGTATGTATCCGCCTTCAGAATCAGTCCCCGCCCCAGGTGAGGTGTCGACGTTCTTTTTCTTCTTCTTAGGGGCGCTCGGACCTGCCAACGCGAATAAGTCAGGTAACAAGAACGTAGGGAACTCCCAAACTGTAGCCAAAGAATTACCTGACGGGCCGTACTGTTGAAGAAATGCAGCCCAGGTACGGCATTCCTCCGCATAAGGTATTATTCTTTCCACCCATGATTTAATGTCATCAGTGAACTGGGGTGGAGAAGCCCTCGCTGCGAATAAAAAAGGGAGAAAAGCAAAGAAATCACAATGGCCATATGGTCAAAAGCGCAAGCAGTCCTGAATTCCACGAGTAGAAATACTTACGTTCTGGATTCCATCTTTCCGGGAACCCTTCGGGATTCGACACCAGGTGCTCCGTCCTGATGTAGAAATATTTACGCCAAAAGCGGCGGTTGGGCTTATCATCGGCTTTAACAACCAAGCCCCTTGTGCCACGACTTTTTAACTGCAGCATGGTACCCCTCAGGTAACCGGGGCTGAATAAGTGTAAGAGGTGGTGGACCGAGACGCTGCACTCAGCCCTGGCCGCATAAGTGGTCATAATACGGCACACCTTCAAGGTGTAAGGAGTGAGCTGAGCCAGACACACATTGTAAAAACGGCAAAGCTCCTCCATCAGAGGGTAGATTGGAAGATTGTAACCGATCAAGAACGGGTACTCATAGAATGTGCAATATCCAGGCCGGTGCACATCGGTATAGTCCGTCCCGGCCGGAACCATTTCCACGTGGTCCGGAATATGGTGCGTCTCTCGAAGATCATCTAAATGGGATTGTAATAAAACGTTGTGCTCCTAGGGAAGGTCTGGGCTTTTAGTTGGAAAATCCCTGCGAACATGCATCTCATTCGGAAGGACGTTGTCTACACTGAGAGGAACAAGGGCCTTCTCCGCCTTTTCCCCTTCACCACCGGAAGATGGCGGAACCCTAGACGGGGCATTATCTTTGGCCTTTTACTATTCTGTCCACGTTTTGTCATGATTATACTACGTAAGAAACGAAGCACTGACGATAGGAAGTGTGGTTTCAACAGAAGTGGGAGAGTCCCTCACGAAATAACGGTTACAGGAAAGAAAGACAAAGGAGTAAATCAGAAAATGCTTTCCGAAGGCTTGAAAGTCGAATCGAACCTCTCTCTTACTTATAGGGATAAGTTGCGCAGAAATAGAAGAGTCATGATTCAAAACGTGCGCGGGAAACCAAAATGTCACATCATCCTCTGAACCGCCTCGGGGGCAAATATAATAATGATGCATACAGGCGATGACGTCATTCCAAAAAGGAAGCCACGCGTTAGTGGCTCAACAACGTCATATATTTCACCTCATTCATATTGCCGCCCCTGGTCGAGGTCAAATTCTCCTAAGCCGAGGTTCGCATTTCCGCCCATCGAAGACGCCCACCGAATGCGTCTCCAACGAGCGGAGGGACTAACTGTATAGGGTCAAATTTGACCATCAGCATCTCTACGCCAGTGGGTACGCCCAGTGAGTGTACGCCGACTAACGTAGCGGGTACGACTCGGACGTGGGGACAAAAGCGACATCGTTTAGGACTCAGTGTCTTCACTAGGGAGACGTTACCTGTCTTTGTAACTTTTTGATTCTTTCGAGGAAGTCTCTTATTATATAAAGGAGACCTTCACATTGTAAAGGAGGGGATTCTGATCTAATACAACTCTCTCATTTTCTGGCTTTCTCTCTCTATCTCTACCTCAAACGAACATATCTTATTGAGTTCATATTATCACTTTGCAATACTAGATCTACAACAATAATATCATCTTTGCATCTCTAGGTTTATTATATTTGATTACGATTTACCCTTTTCTTACTTTTGATTGTTTTCTAGCTTACAAAGTATATTGTTAACTTTTGAGCCAAACAAACTTGATAAAAGTATTTGGATTATCCTTAATATAGTTATTCTAAGAAAACAACCAATACAATTCATATGTCTAGACATACTTATAGAAGTATAGACATTAATTTCTCATGATTCACAAGTATGTCCACTAGTTTACGACCCTGATCCTTATTTATAGAAAAGGATACTACAGGATGAAGCACTATATTTATAAAAAAAGCATACTACAGTAAACTTGAAGTATCTTGGACTAATGTATTTTGCAGTCATTGGACTAATGTATTTTGCAATCGGAAAGCAACAAGTATTTTGCAGAATTAAGTAGAAATGTAGATTGAAGCATGAGACATCTGATTGGGTACATAGTAAACAATAAAACCATAGTTCTAAGCTAATCGGAGTTGGCTATATGAACTCTCTATTCATTTTCCTTCTTTGGATCTGTCTCATTCCAACACTCTTAACTTCTAGAAGTTATCTACATTTTCCACTAACATACAAATTGCTCAACAAGAATAAGAAAAATGTTGGACTAATGTAAACCTACAAACAAGACTAGACGTTAATCTAAATTAATTGGTATTAGCTTGTACGGATATTTTCTTCATTGTGCTCTATTATTTGTTTAGTCTCTCATGGATTCCGCGGAATTTTTGATTTTCTATGTGATATCTCGTCCCGATCAATACCCTCAACCATCATAGAATATGGAGTAGTGCATTTGAAATTGTGTATAAGACATGACTAAACTATCTTGAATGATGTTCACTCGTTTTATTCTCTGTGTGTATTGTTAAAAGCATTCATTTCTAATCTTGCCATGTGTGCTGTTAAATGCACTCATTTTATCCTCTATCTGTGTTGTTAAATGCATTCATATGTTAAAGGAAAATTCCTTTCTGCCACTCTTTTTGGCATTAATGGGGATATTAATGTAAAATCACACCCAAAAATGCCCTTCCCGTTAGGTTTTGAATTTCTCTCTCATCCATCGAATGTTTGTCTTCCCCATACATGGAAAATATCAAGCATGCAAACCCTCTTTTTAATAAACGTATTTTTTCATCTTTTTTGTAGCATACGCGTATATATTCCAAATTTATTCATCAATATACATATACTTGATTGTGTATTTCGTATAATAAGGTCTTCAAAGTCCTAATATTTAAACAACCTAGATGGTCGATAAACAAACCCGAAGGTATATATTATCCCTCTTCAAAGCCCTAATACTTAAACAAACCTAATACTCTATTGTTTTTCATCTCTTACTCACCTATGTTCTTGTAAGTGTGAGTGAGTCGGTATTTCTACCACACCAATTTTTATACATAAATTTATAGTCTGATTTGAAGTTATGGATTCAACTGAACCTGTCATTAGAATATTACACCTATCCATGTGCGTATCATTTCTTGTTTGACCGGACACAAGATATTCATTTATACAGTATTTATTTAGAACCGAAGAAAATATTTCGATAAAGATATTATTGTATAAGTTTTCTAATTAGTGGAGCAAATATGAAAAAAATCATAATATGAGACTTTTGACATATTTGAGTTTGTATATTTTCATATGGTACATATGACATTGTCATTATGATCACAAACTGGCTAAGTGCGTGAACTCACACAAGTAGGATGGATGTCATACTTTTACAAAAAAAATATGTTCTTCCAGTATTTGGAAAAAATAAATTCTTAATTAGCCTAATAATTTAACCACTAAAATTACTTAGTTCTAGTTAGCCTAAAGAATTCTCCATTTTAGCTGGCCTAAAGAATCCTGTGAGTGAACGAACAACCTATTACTGGTGCGACTATCTAAGTTTGAATAGAGTAGTTGTCGAAACTAATGGTGTTAGTTGAATTGTATTAACTATTTGATTACCAAAATTGTATTGATAAATACAATTTTTGAATCCCCGTGTAGATTTTGAATCATATTTAGAGGGTGTTTGGCTAAATTTATAAGCTGGTCAAACTAGCTTATAAGCATTTTTTGGCTTATCTACGCGTTTGGTAAAGTTAAGAGTGCTTATAAGCCAATTGCTTATAGGTCAAAAATAAGTCAAAAGCTATAAGCTGGTCACCCCCAGCTTATGAATTTTTAGCTTATAAGCACTTTAAGTTTGACCAAGATTTTTACAATTTTATCCTTAAAATATTCCTTTTTTAGTTCTCTATTCCTTTGCATATTTACATCTATGATTGTGTATTAATCTTTGAACTGTATGTAATAAATGAGGACATATCAAATTTTTGGTGTATTGCTTTCTAAGTGTTGTGGTGATGAAGACAATGTTTGTTTCTCTTCAAATATTTTTTCCTATTTAGGTTTATTTTTTACTGTGAAACTTTTGTCAATTTATTAATTATTATACCTTATGATTTTATGCTTATCATAAAATAAATTATATTTATCAGAAAAATTATCTTATCTAAGCACATTTGTATTTAAAATAAAATGACAAATAGAATATTTTATATTTGAATCGATCTGGAATCTAAAATTTTGAAGAAATTACACCCTTATAAATACAAAAAGTTCTAAGGTTATTTAAGTCATTTTAACAGAAAAAGAGCTTATCAGTACTTTTTTATCAAATACTGCAACAACTTATTAGCTATTTCAGCACTTGTACCCAAACACGTAACTGCGTATTTATTAAATCAGTTTCAGCACTTAAAAGTGTTTTTCAGCACCTAATGGTTATCAGCTACTTCAAATCAGCTAATCCAAACGAGCTCTTACTAACAAAATTATTCACATGCCAATAATTTAACTTTTCAATGAAGCATTTACATCTCTAATTTACTCTCCCTAACTCTTTCAAGCCTATTTTAGTCTTTTGAAATGATACGAAAAAAACAGTTATAACAAAAAACACGCGAGAGCTGGATGAAGATAGAAATTTGATATCATTCATATTTCAACAGAAAATAAAAGTACATATACAATAACTGGATGAACTTAAAAATAAAAGCTAAAGAAAAGAAATAACAACACAAACACAACCTAAAAACTAATTAATTTCAACCGGATCTTCAGAAGTTCCTTGTCCTTTCACTTGCACTTTGAAGACAACAAACAATGGTGCAATTTCAACCAACTCAAATTTAACGACCAACCTCGCTTGATATCATTCTCCACCACAAAATTTTTCCAACCTTCTTTGAGCCTTCTTCGTTCACCAATGGACAATCCAACAAATCACTCTTTGCCACCATATTTTAATCCAACAAACCACTCCTCTCCTTAAACAAATAACACCGCGCTTCTTCAATATGGTGGCAAAGACTGATTTGTAGGATTGGCCATTGGTGAATACGAAGGCTCAAAGAAGTCTGGAAAAATTTTGTGGTGGAGATTGATATCAAGCGAGGTTGGGTCGTTAAATTTGAGTTGGTTGAAATTGCACAATTGTTTGTTGTCTTCAAAGTGCAAGTGAAAGGACAAGGAACTTTTGATGATCCGATCAAATTAATTAGTTTTTAGGTTCTGTTTGTGTTATTTTTTCCTTTTTTTAGCTTTTATTTTTAAGTTCATCCGGTTATGGTATATGTATTTTTATTTTCTATTTAACTATGAATGATATCAAATTTCTATCTTCATCCAGCTCTCGTGTGTTTTTTGTTATAACTGTATCTTTTTTCTTTCATTTTTTACATCATTTCAAAAGACTAAAATAGTCTTGAATTAATAAGAGTTAGGAAGAGTAAATAAGACTATAAGAGATGTAAATGCTGCATTGAGAAGTTAAATGGTTGGCATGTGAATAATTTTGTTAGTAAATAGGATTCAATATCTACATGGGAATTCAAAAATTGTAGTTATCAATACACCGAAGTAATTAATGCAATTCAACTAACACCATTAGTTTTGACAATAACTCTATTCAAACCAAACCAGATAGAGGATACTTTAGGCTAACTAAAATGGAGAATTCTTTAGGCTAACGAGAATGTAAGTAATTTTAGTGGTTAAATTATTATGCTAATTAAGAATCTTTTTTTCAAATACTGGAAGAACATATTTTTTGTAAACAAAAAAAATATGACATCGATCATACTTGTGTGAGTTCACGCACTTAGCCACTTTGTGATCATAATGACAATGTCATATGTACCATATGGAAATATACAAACTTAAATATGTCAAAAGACTCATATTATGATTTTTTTCATATTTGCTCCACTAATTAGAAAACTTATACAATAATATCTTTATCGAAATATGTTCTTCGGTTCTAAATAAGTACCCGTATAAATGAATATCTTGTGTCCGGTCAAACACGAAATGATACGCACATGGATAGATGTAATATTCTAATGATAGGTTCAGTTGAATCTATAACTTCGAGTCAGACTATAAATTTATGTATAAAAATTAATATGGTAGAAATACCGATTCACTCTCACTTAGAAGAACATAGCTGAGTAAGAGATGAAAAAACAATCAAGTATTAGATTTGTTTAAGTATTGGGGCTTTGGAGAGGGATAAAATATACCTTCGGTTTTGTTTTCGGCCATCTAGGGTTGTTTAAATATTAGGACTTTGAAGACCTTACAATACGAAATACACAATCAAGTATATGTATATTGATGAATAAATTTGGAATATATACGCGTATACTACAAAAAAAAATACGTTTATTGGAAAAAGGGTTTGCATGCTTGATAGTTTCCATGTATGGGGAAGACAAACATGCAATGGGCGAGAGAGAATCAAGCAGAGAAATTCAAAACCTAACGGGAAGGGCATTTTTGGAATAAAATTAGCACAAAAACCCTAATTTGGGGGTGAATTTACACTAATAACCCCATTTGGGCCATTATGGCCGAAAAGAGTGCGGCAGAAAGAAAGGAATTTTCCAATAGAATATTATCAAATTTATAACAATTCTATTGGACTTTTTTTTCGATTTAGTAGGTATCCTCTTTATCACATAAGACTCAGATAGTAATTCTTCATTTCAACTGTCCTGTTTTTAGGATTTAACCTCACAAGCCCTTCTCAATTGCATTTATATAATAAGAACATCAAAAAAAATCATCTATAGGATCATAATATCCCCAACATAAGGCGATTACGTAGACCATCTAACGAAATCCCTATAATCTGGAATACAAACCCTACAGATCCGGTACAGAAATGAATCAGAAAAGTTGTAGTTGCATCAAGGGAAAAAACATAGAATCAACGAACTATAACGTACCTTAGAAAATCGCAAGCGACAATCAATGATTGCCATGTTGTTTGTGCTCGAGGTGGCGTCGCTCTTCCGGAAGGGCAACGAGGTAGGAGAAAATCATGCCTCCAAAGCAGACATGGAGGAGAGGGTCAACGGAACTGGTTTCGATGTATTTAGCATGGTAATTATCCAATCCCTTTTTGACAGCATTCTTCGCGTAATCGATAGATAGCATCGGTTTCAGGTGCGCCGGCACCTCCTTCATCTTCATACCTTTTATCTCCTTGTACAAGTTTCTCAACGCCATTTCTTCCCAAAAGGTTTTAGCCGAGATCTGAAACCCTAACCCCTTAGCAGCTCTGCTGTTGCTCTCTGTCCGTCTTCGGGAGGATTGACTTTCTATTTTACTGTATAACGCTCTGTTTGGTAGATGGGGTGAAGTGAAAAATTGAAAGACTAATGGGTTCGGCCCAATATGTTTTCAGCTGATTTACACCAATAGTCAATTAGGGTGAAGTACATAAATAGCCATTAAAGTGAATGCTCTTAAATTCTTGGGATTTTTACGCAAATAGCCGTCTATATTCGTTGTTTACTTTTTTAGTTATATACATAAATTATACATTTATTATACACATATAATACATAAAGTAGGCATATACTATACTTACACCGACTATTTTTAGTTTAAGAGGTTGGATGAGAAGGCTATTTGAGTTAATTCTTCTAAATTTTTGTTCATGCTTGTCTCATGTGCAAAAATTCAAATTTTACAAGTGTTGCCTCTTGGTTGTCCTATACACAATATTTTTAACTTTTAACCTTAAAAGTTCTTTTCATAGTGCAAGCTGGGGGTCAAAAGGTAAATACCACATCAAAGAATGTCATATTTCTGCAATTTCTATAATCTTATATTTAGAAGTTGACCCCTTTTTAACATTGATCAGTAACGAAATAACAAAATAGTTACCTGGTCTAAAGTTTCAAAATTAAAAACTATTTTTCGGACAAATTAGTTAATTTTTTAACTTCTAAATACAAGCCACAATGTGTGTCTAACACTCTTTTTTTTAGACTTCTCTTTAAATTCTATCTTCACTAATTCGGTGGGTTAAAATTTTACTTAAAACTAGTTTTAGTGTACTTGCGTTGCACGTGTGAATCGCATTAATTTATATAAAATATATACAAATTGTTGAACAACAGCGATAGGAGGTTAAACTAAATGCAATGTGTATTTAAATGATGAAAATAAATGTTATTACATTGACACAATATAGTTGAATTCAATATTTTTTGAATAAATTTAGTATAATTAGTTATATAGAATTTATAGTTATAAATATTATATTATATAAGACACAAAAAAGCAATATTATTTTATCTCACCTAGTATTTTTTTTATAAACTCTACGTCTGTATGTCATTTTATCAGAAAACAATTGATCATTCAAAGTTAATTAAAATTATAGATAAGCTAAGTTGACCTCTTTTTGTGTGAAAAAGTAGCCTAGATTCTTATTGATCTAAGAGCGTGTTTGGCCAAGTTTTTAGGAGGCAAAAAAAAATTTTTTTTTAGATTAAAGGTGTTTGGCTAAAACGTATAAGTGCTTTTAAGTATCAGTAGAAGTAGTTTTTGATGCACTATATTGGGGTCTAACACATCAAGGGAAATTTACTGTGCAATCAATATATACTAAACTACTACAACTTTGCCTAACAACGGTATCCCAATCGCCAACACCCCAATATGCATGGCTTTGAAAAATACTTGTCCCCCCTAAAATAAAAACATTCATATGGCTTATGATGCACAGTCGTCTACCAACCAGAAAATATTTGCACCATATAGATATTCTATTGGATGATCGTTGCAAAATTTGTAATAGCACACGAGAGTCTATTAATCACTTATTTCTAAATTCTCCTTAACGTACAGTCTATGAGGGCACAACTAAGGTTGATTGATGTTGTTAACCACCTCAATAGGTTGTCACAACCCTCACAATGGTTAAGACCTCTAATGCAGGTGAAAACCCATCCCATGCCTTATCGCATCAACAACCAAACTATTGTTTCGTATACACTATGGCACTTTTGGCTTACTTGTAATGACAAAAATTTTAATAATACCCAACATCAACTATCCATTAAATTTGTCACCAACCAAGCGTTGGAATTCACTTACCTGGCAACCAATTTAAAACTAAAGCAAAACCCCATAGTAAAACCTATAAAATGGATCCCTCCAAAACCAAACTTCTTCAAACTCAATATAGATTGAGCAGCATCACTAGCAACTAGTAAAGCAGGTATAGGGGGACTCGTTCGCGATTCAGAAGGGAATTGGATTATTGAATTTGCAGGAAACATCAACACCACAAACAACATTAATGCAAAATTACAAGCCCTCTATCATGGTTTGCAATTGGGAACCACACGATGTTTGATTCCACTGGAAATAAACGTTGATGCATCAGAGGTACTGCTAAACAATAATAATATGCATTACAACTAATCTTATCTCTGACTGCAGGAACCTCCTGGATCAGCTGCATAGTGTCACAGTTACACACATCTAGAGAGAGGAAAATGAGGTGGATGATCAACTAGCTAAAAAAGGTTGCAGTAGGGAACCAACCTCCAAACCTACTGTTTTTTTCGCGCCACCAGATTTCGCCAACACAACACTACAACTGGATCGAGCAGGAGCCATAAAGTATAGGAAGACAACTAAACGGGCCCTGGATATGCCAACAACAATTTTTGTTGTACACAAGGACGGACATGCAACCACCATAACCAATAGCGTTACTATAGTAGAGAACTCCATTAGGTCAACTCACCCTCATCTTTTTGTAAATCACTAATGTCCTCATCCTCAATGTAGTAGCAACCCATCAAACGCTACTAACATGATGCACCCAATGCATCCCCCTCTCTGTAGTAACTTTTTAATTTAGTTTAATACAATATTATCTTTCGTACCAAAAACAAAAAAGTGCATGCAAAATTCAATTATTAATACAATTTTTTTCAAAGAAAGAGAACCTGAATCCGTAGTCATGTGCTGCTCGAACAAGTCATGTTTTGACAATGAAACCTAAAGGAGACTAAATATAAATGGAGTTGAATGAAAACCTTTCCTAGTGTGCGGTGGATTTGAACGAAAAACTTTCTTACTATACGAATTTTATATCTAGATTGTAATATCAGAGGAATAATTAATTAGGGAAATATTTTATGAAAATAATTATATGACTATTTCTAAACAGTAGAGAATTAATTGAGTATTCCTAAATATTAGGAAAATAATTAAATGACTATTTTGCCTAGCGTAAACTTTATTTTTAAAGAGTAGAAAAGACGAACGACATTTCGCTAAGGGCTTTCGTGCTTTTAATATAGTATAGATTAAAAGGACGAATTTTTCTTTTGTGGAACTTAGGCATTGTTTATATTACTGTTGTGGTATAATATCGTACTTTATATTGGATAATTATCCTTGAATGACTAATCTCGAAATAAAAGAATAAAATGGCACATTTTCTATTTTCCAAAGTTTTAAATTAAAATAAAATAAAAGTACACAAACTTATTTTGTAAAAATCATATAAATATTTTATGGTATATGTTTGACCAAAAGTTATCGAGATCTTTTTGGTTAAATCAATCAGAAAAGATGAAGAGGTAAATCTTAGTCAAACATAATAACCTCCAGATCTATAAACAAATCAGAAAATAATGTGTAAGATGAAATAGGGGTGATCAATCTTATTGATATTCTTCATTTCTTCTTTTGTTAATCGATGGAGATGACTGTTTTTCATCCTCCATGGAAGATGACTTTGTCTTCTTTTTGTTAAGAAGATTACAGAGGAGAGGGAAGAGAGAGAAAAAAGCCCTCCCCCCCCCCCTAATGGAAGATTTTCTCCCTATATATAGTTATGGTATCCTCACTATGTACTCGGATTAATACACTTTTACATCGCGTCCGCTTTCATCGTTCCTTGTCACGGCGGGGATTGTGAGTACGGGGTTTTGGAGCAAACCATGTCGTCTTCCACTGTCTCGTCATTTGGATAGGATCTCGATTAGGCCGACCGCAGCGGTCAGATTTTGACCAATTCAGTTAGTCCCTCCGTCTACCGGGAGCGTCTCTTGTCGGTCCTGGTAGACGGATTATGATTGTTACATATCTAAGAGAAATCTGACTACCTACCCCTTGGGTATGATCTTTAGATTCTAGTAACGTGACAACGCCTTTTCGATATCCTTGAACCATTACGGCAGTTTTGGAACCGGAACGTCATTTATCTTGAAGCGTTGTATATGGGTACCTGCCATTATGACACACATTCCCAGGGGATTGAACCGTTTCATGCCCTATCAACTTCAATTGGCGACTCTTGGGTTTCGTGGGGAATTTATGCCTCTTATAAATAGGACTGCACCATTCGATTTGACATATTTTTTACCATTACTTAAGAGATCTTTGTGAATCTTCTTTTCTCCTGATTCTTTGGATTTTTGATTTTCTCCGGTTAGCCAGGAATTTTCGTCTTTCCTTTTCTTTATCCCTTTGCTTTATCAAATTGATAAAAATGGATGGCGATTCTTCTCGTGCAGACCTCTCTGCCACAACTCCGGCGTCGGAAAGTGATGTTCTGGCCACTGGAGGAGTAGAAGTGGTAGAAGATGAGGAGGTCCCGTCGGTGGCTGAGATCTTGCCTCGCCTTGGGAAAGCGTGGAGCGATTTCCACAGTCCCGCCGGGGAGGAACAGGAACCTGCTCCCTCCGTCATAACTGAGGAGGGGATCGGAGAATTGAAGGCTAAGTGGGAAATCCCTCGCCACGTTGAAATACTGCCGGCGGTGGGGGACGACATAATCCATTTTGACCGCCCAGGGTATTCCGCATTCTACACCTACCCCTTTATTGTTGGATACATGCTTCCTCTCCCTCTCTTGGTGGTAGATTTCTGCCGCTTTTATGAGGTATGCCCAGTGCAACTTTCACCGTACCTGTATAAATTGTTCTTCATGCTGCTCAAGTTTGTGGAGCTTGCTGGTCGTGAGATCACTTTGGGGCATATGCTCAATATTTTCGCCCCTCAACTCATTCGTGGCATGATGATTCACATGCGCCACCGAGGGACGAAGAGTTTGGTGGTGAAGATGGACGACAGAGCCAACCGTCGCTTCTACGAGAATTACTTTTATGTGCGGACCGAAAACCTCGTGGCGGATCCTATGGGGTTCCCTGAGAAATGGAACTTCGCCCGTAAGTTTCTATGCTTTTTGTCGGAGTGATGTTTGACTGCTTTCTTTTGGGTAGTACTAAATTGTGTTTTTACAGCCGCGAAGCTGGCCCCTGCACCTGTTAATGGTATCTGCGAGTGGGTGAATGTCATCCTTCCTCATACGG